TGTTGACTTTTATTCAGTTTACTGTCCACTGTAGCCCCTAGGTCTTTATCTGAAGAGCTCTGCTGCCTAACCAGTTAGTCCAAAGTCTGTAGCAGTGACTAGAATTCTTCCTTCCTAGGTGTAGGACTTTGCACTTGTCCTTGTTAAATCTCATGATATTCCTTTTGGCCCAATCCTCCAATTTGCCTGGGTCACTCTGAATCCTAGGCATACCTTCCAGCATATCTACTACGCCCCCAGCTTGGTGTCATCTGTGAACTTGCTTAGGGTGCAATCCATTTCATCTTCCAGCTCGTTAATGAAAATATTGAACAAAACCGGCCCCAGGACTTACCCCTGGGGCGCCCTACCTGATACTGGCTGCCAACTAGACATCAAGCCATTGATCATTATCTGTTGAGCCTGACTATCCAGCCAGCTTTCTGTCCATCTTGCATTCATCAAACTCATACTTCCTTAGCTTGCCTGCAAGAATGCTGTGGGAGATCTTATCAAAAAACTTTCTGTCAAGGTACATGACATCCACCACTTTCTCTGCATCCGTGGAGCCAGTTCTTATCAGAGAAGGCTGTCGAGTTGGTCAGGCATGACTTGCCCTTGGTGAATCCATGTTGACTGTTCCTAATCACCTTCTCCCTGAAGTGCTTAGAAATGGATTCCTTGAGGATCTGCTCCATGGTTTTTCTGGGGACTGAGGTGAGGTCTGTAGTTCCCTGGATCCTCCTTCTTTCCTTCCTTTCCTTTCTTAAAGCTGGGCACTGCATTTGCCCTTTTCCAATCATCTGGGACCTCCCCCAATTGCCATAAGCTTTCAAAGATAATGGCCACCTGCTCTCAGTCACATCAGCCAATTTCCTCAGCACCCTCAGGTGCATTGCATCTGGCCCCATGGACTTAGAAAAGCTGGATGTGTACAAGTTGTCCCTAACCTGTTCTTTCACCACTGAGGGCTGCTTACCTCCCCAGACTGTGCTTTCTGGTGCAGTAGTCAAACTCTTTGAGTTGCACTGGATCCACCATGTTCCTTTTCAAATTAAATAGATGATTATTTTAAGGAACATAACAATAAAATTGTTTCACAACACTCAGATTTAGTACTTGGATGTATTTATCTCTAAATGTTCATATTATAAATCTCTTACGGCTTACTATTTTCCTTGGTTAGATCTTTGCCTAATTAGCCTGTTGACTGTATTCTAATTCTTCCTTGCTCTTCAAAATAGGACTACTTTATACAAGAACGAAATGCATCTCATTGCCAAAGACTTTTAATTTTAGCTTTCCTATGAGTTTTTTCCGCTCTTTCTCCTGATATTTTGGTGTACTGTTATCCAAACCCTGTAGCTTGTTTTTGTTTTGTTTCTTCTGTATTACTAGTTGCTCCTTACCTTTTGTTGTACTTATTTAGATTTATATCCCCCCTTCCCTCCCCCCCCATCCAGAAGAGTTCACAGCAGCTTGCAATAAATGACAAATAGCCCACAGATTAAAAAACAAACAAACAAACAAACAACGTATCTTCCTGCATAGCATGTTGAACACTGCTCTCTAAAAAAAGCTGTCCTTTACAGGATGTGGATAAGCTCAAGAGGCCATCCATATGATCAGGGGCCTGGAGGATAGGCCCTGTGAGGAGAGACTCTGGGAACTGGGTTTGTTCAGTCTGAGTGAGAGAAGACTGAGAGGTGACTTGATAGTCTCCTACAAGTGTATCAGGGATGGACACCAAGATCTAAGAGAACAAATCTTCAGGAAGTCATCCTTTGGGAGGACGAGGACCAATGTGCACTAGCTAGTTGTGGGAAAAATTTAGGCTGGACATAAGGAAAAAATTCTTTTCCCTAAGGGTAACTAGAATCTGGAACATTCTCCCAGCAGAGGTGGTACAGTTGTCATCCTTGGAAGTGTTCAAGAGGAGGCTGGATAAGCACCTCGTTAAGCTCATTTGAGCCCAATAACTTCCTGCCCATGGCAGGGGTCCCAACTTGATCTTACAGGTCCCTTCCAGTCCTCTCATTCTATGATTCTGTTTTTGGCCATGGCTTTAGTTGGTCTGTAAGGTGCAAATCTACCTTGCTTTGTGCTTCACTTTCAACTAATACTGCTTCTTTCTGCCCCAATAGCCCTCTGCAGGATAACTATGCTTGCTCACCTGGTTGTTTCCTCAATGAACTTTTCTTTGCTGTTTTTAGATATTTATTTCCTTTGACAACCTTTTACACAACCTTCTCTCAAGCTTATTTTGGCCCCTTTACTTTGCTTGCATTCTTTGATGGGTTCATCTTGGGGGTGGGCAATTATTTTGGCTAGAGGGCAGGTTTAGGAATTGTGGTGGGGGAGGTGACCCAGCAGGGGGGAGGTGTGCTGATTAGGCCCAGTGTGGCATTACTGTGGGGGGCATCAGTGATCTTTTCTGGGCCAGGCCTGTTTGTCCCACACCCAGCACCAGGGACACTGGACAGGATGGAGCAGACGGGCAGGGTCTCCATGGGGACCAGTGGGGACCCCTGTGGGCAGGGCACACTCAATCCTGTGAATGGGATGGGGCTGTAGGTGGGTGTGGAGCAGCATCCAGGAGCAGAAGGGGTGGGGAGCAGTGTCTAGGGCCAGGATCATGGGGTGGTGACAGTGCAGGTCTGGGGCCTGGGACACAGCCACGATCTGTTCCCTGCACATCCCTGTGATGGGTGCTGGAACTGGATTGCAGCTTTGCTTCAGTCCCTGCCCACCCATCTCACTGCTGGACTCCGCTGCCTATAGCCCCATTCCATCCACCTGGCCGAGCATGCCCTGCCTGCAGGGGTCCATGGAGACCCTGCCTGCCCACTCTGTCTGGCACTGTGGGCAGTGGATATGGGGCAGATGGGCTGGATGCCCAGGCAGCGGGGCCAGGTCCAGCAGTGGTAGTGGAGACCCTACTGGTGGCAGCTAGAAGGAGCCGCCATTGCAGGGGCTGCCAGGAAGCAGAGTCCAGCCACCCTGCTGCTTGTGCCCCACCACACACCCGGGGGTAGTAGGACCAGCTGCACAAGCCATAGCCCAGGCCATCCCCTGTGTCGGGCCTGGGTGGGACTGAGGCACCCGCTGTGGGCTGGATCTGGCCTGTCGGCCAGATCTTGCCCACCCCTGGTTCATCTCTATTCCTGAGCCACCCTCTGCCCCCCATCTCCTTCCATTCCCTATGCACTTCTTTGTAATACTTTATTTTTTCCACCTTTATTTTGGGCAACCTCTTCCTTCTTGAAAATGCAAGTTGTTAATACTTTCAAGGGTTTCTATCAAGGTGTCTGACCTCCATGTATTTTCTTAAAGTATGCACCAGCCTCGAATACCTATTAACTCACCAGGTCCCTTTGGGAATTTCTACTTTCAATTTATGACCCATCTAAATTACCATATTTACACTCATGCCACACGTACCTTTCCCCACAAAATCAGCCCACCAAAAATGGAGCACATATCTTAAATGAACCACGTGCATTGACTTTTCAGGAGAAGTTGATTTTCTTCACCGGAATAGAAGCATGGAGAAACAGAAACAGGGAGACATTGTGCTGTAATGGCTGCCGCTGCAATGGGCTGGCAAGCAGTGGAGGCAGAATGTAATTTTAATCTTATCTCAGTTCCTGCCAAATTGGCTATGGCTTTTGGCTGAGCAACTAACAATATAATGTTCTGTGGGGCTAGAGGAAAACAAGCTAAAAACATGGTAGGGGCTCTGCCATTCTAACTTTTTTACTATTCACCATAACCTGGCAGACTTGCTCTTGTTTTGTTGTAGTTGAATAGTTCACTTTCTGTCTTTACCTGTAAGAGGGTAGGAGTATGTGTTTCAATACGGACAAGTGCAGGGTGCTGCACTTGGGTAGTAGGAACCAGCAGCACACTTATACGATGGGGAACTCCCTACTTGAGAGCACGGAGGCGGAAAGGGATCTTGGTGTCATTATTGACTCCAAGATGAACATGGGCCGACAATGCGAGGTCATGGTTGGCAGGGCTAACCGGACCTTGTCGTGCATCCACAGGTGCATCTCGAGTAGAGCCAGGGAGGTGATCCTCCCCCTCTATGCGACGCTGGTCAGGCTGCAGCTGGAGTATTGTGTCCAGTTCTGTGCGCCCCATTTCAGGAGGGATGTGGACAACATGGAGAGGGTCCAGAGGAGGGCCACCCGCATGATCCGGGGACAACAGGGCAGACCCTACAGTGAGAGACTGCGGGACCTGAACCTATTCAGCCTCCACAAGAGAAGGCTGAGGGGGGACCTGGTGACCGTCTATAAACTCACTAGGGGGAACCAGAAGGGTTTGGGGGAGACGCTGTTTCCCCTAGCCCCCGCTGGCATAACAAGGAGTAATGGGCACAAGTTGATGGAGAGGAGGTACAGATTGGACATCTGAAAAAACTACTTCACAGTTAGGGCGGCTAGGAGCTGGAACCAACTTCCAAGGGAGGTGGTGCTGGCCCCTACCCTGGGGATCTTTAAGAAGAGGCTGGATACCTACCTGGCTGGACTCATTTGAGTCCCGTTTTTTGTTTAGGGTTCTTTTGTTGTTCTCCCGCCCTGGCGGGGGGTCGGGCTAGAAGATCTATTAGGTCCCTTCCGACCCTAAAACTATGAAACTATGAGTAATGCATTGAGGAGATTTCACTAGGTACCAAAAATGGTTTCATGAAAGTTTTCTGCATATTCATCTGTTGGCTCTTGCTTGAAAGTTAGTCTAACTGGGATGAAGGAGATGATGGGGATGCTGTAATTGAACACTGTTTGTTACTGACCGCTCAGTTGCCATAAAGTCATTGCACATGGTTCCAATGGGTTTTGCGATGAATTGGACTACTTGGCCCCTCTTCCTTTGTGGGTCTGTTATGTATCCCTCTGCATTTGGCACTGGACATTCATGATGTGATATCCAGTGTTGCCATTGCTGCATTGAATCCATCCGACTTCAGTGTGGTGATAAACTGTTTGTTTTAATGCTTTCTTGTTTTCTTTCAGCTGGATGAAGCTGTGGCTGCTGCTCATCTGGATAAACTGTGTGTGAAGCTGACTAAACTGAGTGACAAGCAGGCCAAGTACTTAGGAGTATCAAAAGAAGGGCCCTTCAAGCCAGAGCACTACAGATACTGAGCAGCCAGTGCTACCCAAAGAACAGCTTTCAGGGATTAAATCTTCCAAAGCTTTTGCCTGTGCCCTGGGTTCTGAGAACAAGCCTTCCTTCTTTCCCCCTCTATGCACCCAACACAAGCCCTTTCATTCTTTAAAGCGCAGGTACCAAGACTGCTTGGGAATGGACTCATTCTTGCATACTGGGAATTGTCTCTTTAGCTATTGCCCCAGTGGACTGGATCCTATATATGCTCCTATTGCCTTCTGAGTGAGGCAGTAAGTAAAGTAAATAAAACTCAGTACCCCTAGTCCTTTCAAGTCCTTCCTCTACTGCTGGTAGACGGACAGTATCAGTTTGAATAGGCTAACCAATAATATGGGGGATAAATAATATGTGATAATGGGGGTAGTTTGTTAGTACCTTAGGAGCACTGGAAGTGCTGCCCCCCTTTCCCCCCTCTATTTTGTGCAGAAGTTCTGGTTTGGTTTTGTGAAACAACCGGGTGAGGTGAATAAACCATGGGTATTCTGCTTCCTTAAAAATTAATGTGCCTCTTTTTGGTTGCTTACTTTGGGATCTGTCTAGTGCTCCTCCTCCTAGGTTAAGACTTGAATTGATTTCCTGGGTCATCTAGTGCAGCTGTCTCCTAAGGTGTGTAGTCCTATATTTTAATTCCAAAATAAATCAAAGCCTTTTTCATTTGTGATGTGATTGGCTTTGAAAGTCCATTGAGGAGGAGAGTGGAAGGATGTTGTTCTCTGAAATGCCAGCAGTGTACTGCTGCCTCTTACATGGTTTTGTAAGTTGTGATATCTGCTGCATCTTGTCTGAACTGGTGTCTCAAAGTGCTTTTATTAAAAACTCACAACTGTGATCTGCTTTAAGTTTACATCTTTTCACTCAGAAGGGAGATGTCTGTCTTTCTGCACAGCAGCTCCATTTCATGTGCCAGCATTGCCTCAAGCAGATGTCAGAAACCTCTACCTTTTTGTATATGGGTTTATGTATAGGGGTCATTTCTCCTTTTAACTCATAACTAACTCAAACCGTTTGTGGTGCAGACTATCCTACTAAATGCTTGGCAAGCTGCTCCAGTGCTGTAAATCATGTCACACCCTTGTCTTGTACAGCAACTGGACTTGCAAAGACGATGCACAAATCTTGGGTCTGAGCCTTTGATCACTCGCCACTGGCCAAAAGAAGTGTTTCCCAAGAACACTAGTGGGTCATCAGCAGGGTGTGATTCGTTTTCCCTCAAAATGTATTCTCTGGTCCTGCATCTGGCTTTGCTGAGGAGTTATATCAGGAAAGCTGGCTAATAGAAGAGCAGTTTGAGAGGAGGGGTGAGGACAAGGAAGAAACTGCTTAAGCTTAAGATAACATATCACAAGTGCATGCTGTTCCTGATATTGAAAGGTGGACACGGACCACCTATGAGAAATCTAAGGTGTGGAAGGTTGTTAGGCCTCCTCAGACAGCCAGGGCCTTTCATGTGTTATTTCTGTTAGGGGTGGAGTTTGGGGTCAGGGATATACATAGAGCTACCAACCCGCTCTCATATACCCTATAAATACACTGAGGCTCAGTAAAGTTCAAAAGTATATTATAAAAACTCACAATCTAAACAAAAACAAGATTAGGAGTAGGAAACATACATAACATCAAGAATTAACTCCTATATACTGGTTAACTAATACCATAATTTCCTGCTTGGGGGGCAGCATCAGGGCCTTCGCAGGCTTACTGAGCTGGAGTGACAGCCAGGCCTTCAGTCTTTTCCCTCAGAGGGTCTCGGACCGAGAGTGAGGGAATGGTGATAATTACCAAACCATTGGATGATTGAGGTCCTGATCCAATAAAGCTTTTATAGGTAAGTATCCAATTACAATCTAATCTGATAGGTCACCCCTCTCTCTCTCACTGCTACAGTGACTGCTTATACACCTCAGACATGCAGGTATGATTACCAACCAAGTAAACTTGCACACCATTCAAACCTCAATTACTCTCGAGCATCCATATTTCATTTGCATGCTGAATCACACCTCAGGATTCCTTAAGTTCTCGCCAAAATCACACCATGTGTCCATCATTCTTCTCACTGATCATACTCATGCACATGACACCCTACTCTCAGCACTCAGGTGTAGCCCACGACACTCTACTGGACCACACAAGCTATTGTGGAGGCTCCCCAGATGTAAGTGGGTCACTGACATCAAGGTGGAAAGTTTAACTGTTCTAGAACCTTCCCATCTCTAATCTGTGTGCATGCTCAGGAGTGATCTTGTGTTATGGGCTGTATCCAACAGGTCCCCTCCTTGATGGCTTCTGGGCCTTGTGTATAGATCCAATCACATAAATATAAGTATCAGAGGGTGGTGTCCTGGGCTGCAGGCTTCCTCTTAGCTCAACGCCAAGGTGGGCAACACCTGGTGGAGGGTGACCTGTGACAGTGCTGTCCTTGAGACCCACAGCTCTCCTGATATTGCATCCATATGGTACATTTGTTTAGTAATCTAAGCCCATATGCCACATCAATTCCAGGTAAGTCAGGGTGTGTCACATTTGTTCATTCCTCTTTCACTAATGCTTTCATTCTCTTAGAGTTTGTCAGGAACACCACATCCCAATCCTGCAGATTAACTTTATAACTTTACATGCGACCAATATTACTATGGAGTGTAACATCAAATTTAAAACACCTGTTGCCATGGGAGACCATCCCAGGAGTGGCTCCCACCATGTGTGTCTCCCTAGTTTTTCAACTTTATTCAAAATTTTCATAATTTCTTCATTATCATGGGAAACCTCAATGAGCAACTGTTTGGCTCTTTACTCATTTTCCTTCAGCATGCTGACCAATTCTGGATGTTGCAATAGTTCCTGGACTACTCTCACTGACAGCCGTAGAGGAACAGTTTCCAAAGCTTTAAACATAGTCCAATTAACTGTGTTTACATATGATAGCCAATCATGTAGATTTAACTCAAAGTCACACCCTCAGATGCTCTTTACGTTGCATACACAAAAAGTGGCATTATATCAATATATCTTCTATTTAAACCAGTTATTAACTTCAACTTCTAGGCATGCTGTATTGACACAAACACATTCCTTATCCACTTGATACACTATAGAATAGTTTCCTTCTTGAATAGTTGAGATCTGGTAGACACATAGGGCTGCATCGGGGTTTAGACGCACAGATTCCCTACGCATGTTGTGCTAGGGGCATAAAAATCCCAAATTCTTTTCTGCAGTGCATTCGCTCATAATTGTAGCCTGCCATGATACATTCTTATAACTGGTCCAGACCTCAGAGTGGTCATGGGTATGAATCCATTGATCTTTAAGCCCAGCACTGCTATGGGAAATATCTCAATGGTTTCCTGTGCTGTTATCCCTGTCAATATAGAACTTGATATTGTCCTAGATTGTGAATCATAAGTGAAAAGTATTGATTTCAACCAGGCTTGGAGAGAAGCCTCCATTTCAGTAGTGTGCTCTATCAAAATCTTCCTTATTTTGAGAGGTATTATTCCTGTGTACCCTTGCCTCAGTGTATGCTGAATGACCTCTTGCCCCAATCCTTGTGCCTGTATACAGGATAGTGCCAACAAAGTATCATTCTGTAACTGAGAGATTGATTTTAACAGTATGAGGCGATCTATGTCATTAAGCTCTTGCCATTTAGGAAGAAGCTTAGCGGAAAACCATTCTTGCAGAGTAACCTTGGAGAGATCTGAAGTCAATGGGACCTGAATCTGCTGTATTTCTTGGGATACCCTTGCTAGTTTGTTCGCTAGCACCTCCATGGAATTCATATCCATATCCATGGAATTCACTATACCAGCCCCTAGGCTCGCCCCTCCTAGAATATTAGATGGCTCTCTCTTTACTTGGGTCCTTTCTGGTACCCTGAACATCTTTTCCCATTTTTTCCATCCTTTCTTCAATGGTCTTACAATCCGGTTACACCTTTCTTTTATTAGCCCTACATCTATGTAGTCTAGCCTAAAGTTGACTTGCCTTAGAGCTCGCACAGGTTCTGCAATGGCTATTCGGGTACTACCAAACTTAACTTGCACTATATCTGCTGGTTTGACCACCTGAGTCAGTACAGCGTGTACACCTGAAAATATTTGACACTTGTCCCAGTGTTATCTGCCATCATCTCAACATATTCTCAAACATAGTAAACTCCATAAACCCAGAGTAAATCTGGATAAACATGTCCTTAACACAGTGCTTCACTGTTTTACGGTGTTTTGTCCACTCGGTCTCTACTATGTTTGGACCATGTGTTAACTCCTGGATTGCCAAACTTCATCGGGGATCACAGTGTAATTGTACTTTTTAGGTCTCTCATGGGTTTTTGATAGCTCACATAAATTCGATAGGTTTGTCCCGTGAACATCGTCTTTGGCATGTAGCATGCAAGTTCCACAAAACCCAATTCCTGTCATCAGGGTGTTGAATTGTAATGTCCTTGTGGCATGGCACTGTTGGTGCCTGCTACTTTAAGACCTAAGGCAAGCAGCCAGCAGGTGCCTGATTGCAGCAGCCATTTTAGATTCAGGGCTGCCTATATAAGCAGAGCATTTTGCTGCTGGCTAAGAAGGCAGCAATATGGTTTGGCTGCAAGGCTGCTGGTATCATCCTGGAGGTAAAGGAGGAGCTGTAGGGGATGGCTAGGAGGCTCCTGGTCCTGGGCATGACTTAAAACTGCACCCTGCTGGGAGTAGGTGGCCTGGTGGAGCTCTCAGTGGCATGGGAGCCTCTAGGAAATGCCAGGCCAGTTATCACCCTGGTGAGAGGCAAGAAGGGGTGCCTTAACCCTAGCCCTCACCTTCAGGTGAGTCATGCAGCATTGGAGGGTGTGGGCCAGGAATGGCTGAGGCCACCTGAGCCCTGTGGGGTGCAAGACCCTGAGGAGTGAGGCAGTTGGGGCCAGGCACGGCTATGGCCACCCGAGCCCTGTGGGGTGCAAGACCCTGAGGAGGGAGAGTGGGGGCCAGGCATGGCTGCAGCCACCTGAGCCCTGTGGGGTGTAGGACCCTGAGGAAAGGTAGTTGGGGCCAGGCATGGTTATGGCCACCTGAGCCCACCAGGGAGGGAAGCCCCAGAGCCCCAAGTGAGGGGGGCAGAGATGAGGAGCCCCAGTGAAGGTGGGGGGGAAACCAGAGGGCTGAGAGCCCAGTATGATTATATAAGTTGCTATATATATATTTAGGTTGCTCTGGCCCCTTCCGGGGGCATCTCTCTCATATGAGAGAGTTGCCCCTGGAAGGGGCCAGAGCAACTTAGACCTGGTCAGGTAGTTGGCTGGCCACTACCCCAGTGAGGGTCATGGGAGAGGCCCAAAAGATGGTACGTCTGCCACCCAAGGGACAAACTAGATAAAGCCTATGGCCTAAGGGGCCCGCTCCAAGAGGGAGCAAGGCAGAATAAGTTGTTGATGCATGAAAGAGACCCTGTGAGAGAGGGTGGAGTGTGACAGGCCCTAGTGAGAGAAGGGCGGTATGAATGTGTGTGTGTGACTGAGGCCTAAGCTTGGTCTGGTGGTAGGCCGGGAGCACTGTCATCCAGATGCCATCTGCAAGGCATGGGCTGCTGTGTAGGGGAGGTATGGAGCCACAGATAGCACCCCCTGGCATTGGGACAAGAAAGGGCAGCCTCCTGCCTTAGTTAACATCTTAATTTCTTAAGAACAAGACATGGCAGGTGAGTCAGGTGGGTGGCATGCCCAAAGGCAAGTGGGGAACCTAGCACTGTGGCTAGGCGGGGAGTCCCACTATGCCACAGTCCTACTCCCTGGATGGAGATTAAAGAAACAGTCCCTAATCTTTTATTCCAGCAGACTGTCTTGTA